GGAAATAGGACTAGGCCCATTCCAGGCTAATTGCATACACTTGCATAGGCCCAATGCGACTCTGATCGACCTGACCTGACCTCATGCCCAACACACCAGGGCTGGCACCTAGTGCCGTTTCGACTTTCTGACACCTTTCCGTTTGCCCATGTCTGTTCAATTATCAAGCTATCAATGAATTAAGACTCCAAAGGCCAATATGACCGTGCAAGTGATGCCATTTGTAAGTAGGGGACAAATGCAATGTAATATGCGGCTGAGTTTTGCGTTACCATTTACCCTTTTTTATCTACTGTCTGCCTTATAGGGGAAAGAGAGAGAAGCAACGTCCAAAAAGTACAAAAGAACGATGATTGATCGATTGATTGTGTTTATGCAAGTCCTTCACACCATTCAATGGACATGTTAAACAGATTATCTGTAGCACGGGTCTCTGAGTATTATGCCCATCTTCTTCAAGTCATTAGACTTGTTTATGCAAGAGATACCTTAGTAAGTCCATACAGGTTGATCATGTAGATGGGCTTCAAGGGCCCAATTCGAAGCCTTACCTTGTTTATCAATCTGTGCATACAACGGGCATGAAACCCCCGAGGTAGTCCGGGCAATACCTCGTTGCCCCCTACGTACACGAACACGACGTCTGTAGACACGACGTCTGTATTTCGGTCTATCAAAGAAAAACATCTCAAATCAATCATTAATAAGACTATCGACATTGCATGTGGGAAAGTAATCGTTAATAATGCGTTAAATGCCTGCTGACACCCAGGGAAACGCTCAATTTGCATGTGTAAAGAAATCGTTCCTCTGATAAGAATAGCGTACCTGAGCTTCTGTCTGTCTGTAGCCTGCCCCGCCTTTCCCCAGGAATTGCGTTGTATAGTTTCTGTGCAGATATTCTTGTCTGTTCTTCAAATAGTGGTGAAGACGGGTTATGAATGAGGAACCAATAAATGAAGCTTTCATTTTGCCTTGCAAGAATGAATGATATCGATATGAGGTAGATGACAAGTTAACGTTCGCTTCCAGCGGAAGCTGATATCGCAAACTAGGTAGTTCTTGGTAGTTGGATTGGATCAAATTGGATGATTCTGTGTTGTTGGTTTGGTCGCTGATTCTTCGTTAGATCTGGTCGGGTCGAATGACATGACGGTGAAACTCGGCCCTGGGTGGTGTGGCGCGAGTTACTCGGTCTCCTTCATTCTTCTAAACTCGTTCTGATCATGGCATTTCTTGTTGATTGGTAGTCGTTGGTTTGGTTTGGTTAGATTATCTGTTATCTGTTAGAAAACTAGAAGACCTGAAAAAAAGAAAGTGAGAAAAGAGGGAGGAAAAAGAGGGGGGGGGGAAGCTTTCAACAAAAGGGGGAGAGATGTTCTCTGTTTCTGCAATGAAACTTGTTAAATTGATTGGATATAATTAAGTGTTAAGAAACTTTGAGTATAAAAACTTAGCCTATCCGTTCAAGACGGATTTGGTTATAAAATGGAAGACTAGTTCCATTATCGTATACCAGTGGTCCGTGGGTGGAGCCAAAACATTCTGTATGGTGAGTGGTATGCCGTTGGTTTCCAGGTACTCACTCTAGCAGTGGCTTACGAGTGAGTTTCAGTTCAGTGCATTGTATAAGGACATGCGACCTTGTGGCAACGTGACCTCAGCGACATTTAATGGCGTTGAACTGACGGTCTCGTAGTACGTTGTTGGTCCGGAGTCTGGTTGCCACTTTGCAGATGGCTACAGTTGGATGATTTGGTTTGGTTTGGTATCTTCGGATCAATCTGGTATCTTGCGGTGTCGAGGTTCCGTAACATGTCGGCCCATTTCTGGTTGATCCTAGAAGATACGATACTGCAGAATTCCGAATATGAGTATTCTACAGGCTCGATATCCTCCAGACTCCGACTTTCCTAAGCACAACGGTCTGCTTGATCATTGTCAGGAATGGAGACGTGCGATGGAACCCATACTAATTCAATCTTCTGGTCGTTGTTGGTTTGGTAGTTGTGGATCATTCTTCTTATTTCGGAAATAACTTCTGACCTGCAATTAGAAGAGGTGAGAAAAATAGATTGGAGGCTGCTTAGTGAGTCGGATAGATTCGCGGCATGCTCCGTGTGATTGACGGACAGCCATGCTACCGCGTCCCTAATGGCAAGAAGTTCTGCTGTGAACACTGAACAGTGCGGGGGGATCCTTTTACTGATGCGGATGCCTTATGCTGTGATGCACAAACCGTAACCTGTTGCGGTACTACTCTTGGAACCATCGGTGTAGATCTTCAAATGGTCGGCGTACACGGAATCAATGAGATCAAGAGCTCTTGCTCACACTGGGTTCTCGTGATCAGCTGGGTGTTGACTGTCGGGTTGGTAACCCTCCAAAACGGAGTAGCCGATAGGCGTCGTTCAAGGATCGTTACTTGATCGAGCTGATGCTCTCCCAATAGATCAGTGACCGCTTGCCCGTAAGAAATACTCCGATTCTTCTGGTTATTTCCGACACGAGTAAATCTTCTGATGCTGGAATATGTTGGACAGCTTTCGGACAAATACTGAAGTTTCCCCCAGAATTTGAGAGAGGGGTTTCTCTCTCACCTCCTGAAGTAGCGCCTCATTCTTCGTACCTACGGTTGCCTTGGTGACAATACGTATAGCTTTCATGTGTAGAACGTCGAGTTTCTTCAGTTGAGTATCACTTGCTTTACCATAGGCAATGCAACCATAATCAATAACTGAACGAACCAGTGACCCGTACATCATCATTAGAGTTTCTCTGTTTGCTCCCCATGTAGTACCTGAAACATAACGCATAACATTTAAGATTTTAGTAGACCGGTTACAGATATAGTCAATGTGCATACTCAAGTCAGACACTTGTCAAAGTGTACTCCCAGGAACCTTACTGAATTCTCATGCTTAATCTTCACACCATTCAGTCTAAGGTCAATACTGTCGCGATCTTTCTTTCTGCTACAGAACAAACCGACGGTTTTAGCTTCCGAAATAATGAAGCTCCAGTCGTTTGGCCATTTAGCAACTTGGTTCAGAGCAGTTTGCATACGCCATTTCACTTTATTGAGGTCAGTGTGACCTGTCCATATCGAACTGTCATCTGCATATAGAGCCGTGCTAACCGAGGGCTCTATATGCTTTATCGTTGTTCATAATGCTGAAGAGGGTAGGGCTAATAACAGAGCCTTGCGGGGTGCCATTCTCCAACGAGTGCTTCTCGCTGAGAGAATTGGCGACGTTCATTTGTATCTGGCGATCCCTTAAGAAGTCTTGGATCCACCTGAACATGCTACCCCGAATGCCAAGTTTATTAAGTTTAAAAAGCAAACCATCAACCCAGACTAAGTCAAAGTCCTTGGATAGATCCAGGAATACTGCGCTGAAGTAGTTCTTCTTTCCGAGTTGGGCGGCCATGTCGTGTTGAAGTCGAACGATTTGATCCATTGTTGACCGTTTCTCTCGAGGTCAGAGAAATAGGCCTGTATGAACTGCATAGACTTTCTGCGGTTTTGGTAGAGGAATGACCATTGCCGTTTTCCAACTTTCCGGAATTGTACCATTATACCATGATTTGTTGAATAATTCTAGTAGAACTGTAGACGCGTCCATTGGTAACTCCTTTAACATGCTGTACTTGATATTATCTTCACCAGTATCGCTGTCTTTCTTACTGTGCAGCGCTTTCTTCAGCTCATCGAGGGTGAAGCGAGCGTTAAGATCCCGTTCGTATTCTCAGGGCGAGTGATGAATCGGAGTGTGGTTGGTGTAGAAGGTCTTCTTGTTCTTTAGAAATTCTTTGGTATGGTTGGTATCAGCACTGCCGTCAGCATAACTTTTGGCTAACAAATTGGCTTTTCCTTCATTGCTGTATTCTGTGGAATCCCTGTAACAAAGAGTTAGAATGGAAGATTAGATTTTTTACCCCAGACAGATCTTAGGTTGTTCTTCTCATTTAATGAGTTGCAGACCTCCTGCCAGTGCTTTGTTTGTGATTCACGCAACAGAGCAGCTGTAGAAGCTTTGACCGCTAAGTATTCTGCCTTGGTATAACGGTCCGATTTCCTCTGAAACCGTCGTAGAGCTCGCTTGCGAGCATATACGGCAGCCTGGAGTTCATCGGACCACCAGGACTTGGGTAGCCTACGTGCAATGCCATCCTTAGTCTGGGGAATAGAGCCCATAGCAGCTTCAGTAATAACCTGAGTCAACTTCCCAGAAAAACTAAAGACGTCCTCGTCCCTTGTCAGATGTAGCTTGGAACGAGTGAAATGACACCTAAAGAAATCCCAGTTAGCCTTCCCTAGTCTCCATTTGCCTTGACACATGACTTCCTCCTTCACAACATTGCGTGACAGCGTGATTTCAATGACAACATGGTCACTTCCAAAGGTCTCACTGGTTCCTTCCCTGGTACAGTTTTTAGCAAACCGACTGCTTACTAATGTGAGATTGAGATGCGAACCAAGAGGAGCAATTGCACCAACATAAGTAATGCTACCATCATTATGCTAACCAGGTCATTGGCCTCATTGAACTAAGCAACTTGTCTACCATTAGTGTCAGTTTTTGGCGAGCCCCACAATACGTGTTTGGCGTTGAAATCACCAAGCACAATATTGTCGGTCCCGGGCAACTGATCGTAAACATACTGATATTCACTGAATCGTTGAGGTTTGCCTTTGACTTCGGGTCGATAAATATTAACGATAGAAAAAACCTTTGACTTGTCGGTAAAGGATACCGCCTGTGCCTCCAGAGGAGCGATGGTTTCCAGAGAAACCTTATTATGGGATATACCATTTTTGATGTAGATAGCCAGACCCCCACCACTTCGATGGTTGAGAGCATTAGGTCTGTTTAATCTGATCAAAGTATAACCATTGATGAGAGGGGTCTTTAATCCGTGAACCGAGCTTGGACTCTTGGAGGAAAACGGCATCATACTGCTTCCTTTGTAGTAGCTGTACCAGTTGGGTCTTTCGTTCAGGTACGTTCAAGCCATTGATGTTCAGCTGTATAAACCTGAAATCGAATGTAAAAAAATTAGTGACTTAATGGATCAGTATGGTTTAGCATGGGGTTTGGGGTGTCGTAAAAACCTATACGTCCATCTCCGTTACTGAGCCAGTGGGCAGTGGTCTAGCTAGCGAAGTGCTTCTAGAGCGCTCATTCACGGGTCTGGAGCCTGTACTTCTGCAGATGCTCCTCGACTGACGAGGTTGGCCACTCGTGGATACCGCCTTTACTTTTCTTGGCGTTTCCACTGATTGACCCACTACGTCAGTCCTCGGAACATCCGTGCTGGATCTCTTCCTCTTTGGTTTGGTATCCTTATTTGGTGGTTGTTGATTCGTGACGTGGTCGGCACATACTTTTGATACTGCGTCCATGGCGTCTTTTGGATTAATTTCACCAGCCTTGGTTCTGGAACTGATTGCTACTGCAACCAACCTGCAACAGAAATCAAAAAATTTAGACTCATCCTTAAACTCCGGCATGAATCCTTTCGGAGTTTGAGCCGGGGCAGGTTTGGGGCATTCGACCACGGGCTTGGGGGCAGCCGGCACCGTGTTGGCCAGCTTCTTGTGAGGATACCTTGTGACGTGCTGGATCCTTATCTCCGCTCTTCTGGACAGGAACGAAGGGCACTGTGCGGAGTTACTGGAGTGGTTATCACTCCGACAATTCACGCACCGTACCTTCTTGGATTTGCACAGCTTGGTGCTGTGCCCCTCTCCACACTTTTCGCAGCAAACTTTGCTGCGGCAGAACTTCTCCAAATGACCCAACTTCTGGCATCTTCGTGCCTTGGGGATGTAAGGGTGCAGCTGGTACTGTTTGGGTTAAAAAGCTAACACTCGACTAGGAAATCGAAAATAAGTCACACTCTAAACTCGAATTTTATTTTCTTCACCACATTTCAAGGGTGTACAGAGAAGACAACTTCTTACATAAAGAGTTCCAAAAAGGGAGATAATTCATGTCAAGAGTTAACACTTTACAGACCGCATTTAGTCTATTTCACAACACACTCCCCCCTATTGACTAATAGTCAATACCTAAATATGAAAATGGAAATCAAAAGATGGATTCGAGCTCGACTCAATGGATAAAAGGTATGAGTGCACAATAAACTATTCATAATCTACCGTCTGAACTCTAAACTCGTTACAATACAAAGCAATAACATTGAAATATACAAAATTAAAATACACATTCAGTCTATGGACACAAATATTAATTACAGTCCTGTACTAACTCAACAGGAAACAACTTTTGGATTGGACGGTTCATCTCTATCATTTTACCAAGTTTATTAGGAACGCGAATAACTGCTGAACGAACATTATTGTCTCTTCCTACTAAAGTTCGCACTACACGAGCCATACTCCAGTTCATTCGCGGAATCTTGTCTTCGTACACAAGAACTACATCGTCATTGCTTATAATAGGACCTTGCTTACTACGATTTCGATGATGCTCACGAAGTTCAGTTAAATACTCGTGTCTCCAACGATTCCAAAAATGTTCTAACACAGTATCAGATATTTCTTTCGTTTAATATGAACTTGATCACTATCAGTATGAGGAATATCAATAATCAAATTAGGCTCAGAAATAATTCTACGTCCTATCACAAGATGGGATGGAGTTAACGGATTAACACATTCCTCACTAACATATGTAAGAGGTCTAGAATTCACGACTCTTCAATTTGAATTAACACAGTCAGTAATTCCTCATAAGTTAACTTAGCAGTACCCAAAATCTTTTTTTAGGCATCTTTTCACTGAACGCACCATACGCTCGAAGAAACCTCCCCACCAGGGAGAACGCTCAACGTTATAAGACCACTTTATGTTCTTAGAATTGGTAAAGGCACGCAACTCTTCGCTTTTGAAATTCTTGCCATTGTCTGAAATAACAAACGAAGGAATACCACGTCTACCCATGAAACGCTGTAAACTTCTAATAAAAGAAGTAGAACTTGCATCTGGAACTAAGTCTAAATGTATCGCACGGCTGCTAGCACACGTGTACAAAGCTATAAACACTTTGTTCATGTCTTCAGATTTTGAATATATGTCTTTTACAAAAAGGGGACCGGCATAGTCTACACCTATGTTGGAAAATGCAAAATCATCCGAAAGTCTAAAGTTTGGAAGAGGAGGATCTCTTGGAACACCATAAGATTTTCCTTCTAGTTTTCTACATACTACACACTTCTGAATTATCTGTCGCACAACTTGGCGTCCTCTACAAATCCAATATTTGGAACGAAGCTGGACTAATGTTTCTTGAACACCATTATGGAATACATCGTTATGACACTTCTGAACAACTAATTTTGTAAAGTCATGATTTTCAGGCAGGAACACTGGAAACTTAGTGTCATAAGCTAAGCTCGAATTCTGGATACGACCATTACAGCGTAGGATATTGTCTTTATCTTCTTGAAGATTCAGAGATAATTTTCGTTGTTTGAATTTACCATCATTTGGAATTTGTCGTTGAATGTCTCTTATCCAAACACATTCAGCAAAATTTAACTCTTCTTTGGTTAGGACAGTCCTTTTAACGTCAGTCTTGTCTATATGAGCTTTAATATTACTAATAAATCTTAACACATAAGTTGTCACTCTTATTAATTTATCTATTGAACTATACTTAGAAACAGATATTAATTTTTCAATATTATGTCTGATGTCAATACTAGCAAGACAGGAAGTTGTCTTAGTCTCAGACTCTATCTCAACACTCTTAGGGACAGGCTCTTTAAAATGTAAATCTAATTCTTGGGGATGAGTCAAAAATAGAGGTCCATTCCACCAAATATAATTGTCAGCAAGAGCCTTAGCTTTACTGCCTCTTGAACAAATGTCAGCAGGATTTTCTTTAGTATTGCAGTAAAACCAATTGTCTACAGAAGTCAACTTTCTAATTTCTATTACTCTATTTTGAACAAATTGCTTAAACTCTTTATGAACATTCTTAATCCAACTTAAAGCTACACTAGAATCAGACCAGAAATAAACTGATGTTATATCAAACATATCATTTAAACAATCTACTACACTTTTAGCTAAACGAGCAGATACTAAACACCCTAAAAGTTCTAGTCTAGGAATTGTAGTTTTACTAAGGGGAACTACTCTAGTTTTAGATGCAATAAGATTACTATGAATAAGACCTGAAGGATGTTGACATCTTAAGTATACACATAACCCATAAGCTTTTTCTGATGAATCTGAGAATACATGAAGTTGAACTTCAGCATCACTAAGATTGTCACATACACATCTTGGAAAGGAAATCTGATCTACTTCACTCAAACTATTTAAAAGTTCATTCCAATAGTCACAAAACTTGTCATCAACTAGATCATCCCAATCTAGACCTTTCTTACACACTGACTGAAAACCAATCTTGAACAAAACAACTATTGGAGCTATCATACCAACTGGATCATAAAACTTAGCAGTAGTACTCAATATACTTCTCTTGGATATCACAATAGGTTCTGCATTAGACAATACTTTATCAAACTGAAACTGAAACATATCTAATTGACAGTCCCATTTTTGGCCTAACACACTTGAACAATCAAAACCAGTGTCTTGTAGGAACATACTATAGCCACGATCTTCTTCAGTTATACTAGGAGCTGGAATCTTAGTCTTCACACATTCAGAAAAAATGTTACTATTTTCAATCAAACTCATTAGTCCTGCAGAGTTGCTCATCCACTTTCTCATGTTAAAACCACCATCAATTAAACTCTCTCTAACTTTTCTACACAAATCAAACGTAGACTGAACATTATTTGATCCTGATGCGAAGTCATCAACATACAAAGACTTTAAAAGGCTTTTTACAAAGTTGGAATCATCTGGATATTTAGAATATAACTGGTGCCGAATGGTAGCATTTAGTATAAAAGGACTCGACGTAACACCAAATACCACACGTTTAAACCTCATAG